TGAGGATTTCAGGCAGGAAAGCAGAGCAGCTGGCTAGTGTTCACTCACAGAAATGCCAGTCAGCACATGTTACAGCCGTGTACTCCGTGGGTTTGTAAGCCTGCCTGGTAGCAGAGCCTTTGAGATCTGCCAAAACTACAATACTGTGTCTTGGACATATCTGAGCTTTAAGGATGTTGAAAATCTGGGGCCCCAAGAAACTTCTTTAGAATTGGTGTTGCTTAACAACTATCTGGAAAAAGATGTGAACAAGGTGGCAACATTTGAAGATGACAGACGTATTTAGATTAGCTGTGATTAAAAGTGACAGTGAGGAACTTCAAAGAGATCTGACAAGGTCAGATGAATAGGCAGTATGATAAGATACAAAGTTATTGTTGACAGCTGTAAGATAAATTAACTGAAGCTGCTCAGGAAAAGGACCCCAGAACTCACCCAGGACATCTGCACTGAAACCTTAAGTCAGTGTGCAGCAGCAATCCCAAAAGTTAATTAAATGTGAACATGTGTAGAAAGGAAAGTTAGGAGACTATTATAACATCAGTCTTTAGGTAAGGGTACATCTTCACCTGTGCTCAGGTCCAGTCAAAAAGATGTAGTAGAAACAGAATGACTGTAAATGTGAAGATAGGTCCAGATGAGGGAGAGTGATATTTGAGGTTTTTATTAGAGATGAAGAATGTATTCTAGTGTTAAGAGGATACACATTTGTGTAGAGATAGATTTGCTTGCCACAGGCTGTCACTGTTCACAAAAGCTAAATGCCATCTTGCAGGCTCAGAAAACAGGAACTGAAAAAAGGTTTTGGAGACCGAGAGGGAAGTTTTGTTATAAATGGCTGCTTTTCTCTGAAGTGTTTGTCATATACAGAACAAAGAAATATTAGTAAACAATTTACAATGACCACACATTGTGGAAAATAACACTTCCTCGTGCATTAAGAGGGTACTAGTCTTTTAAGGAACTCAACATAACATTGCACAAATTAAGTCCTCCACGGTGTTGGCCCATATACTGTGCTAGATCTGTGTGCTAAATAAAAGAGAACTCTAGGCAAAGCTACTGATACAAAATACTTCTACCATCAATGCCTCTTCTGTAAATGGAAAAAATAAGCACAAAGGTACCTCTTTTGCCCAGGTGAACATCTGATCTGATGCAGCACATAAGGATGTACTTAAGTGTGGGCTCAAGACAGGAACCTGGCTGACCTGTTATCTCACCCCAGCAGTTTATGACCTGAAGCTGATAGCTAACATAATTCATACTCATACCAGAATTAATCATAATGTTGCAGTATGAAGAATAGGCCCTGTATTTTCCTTAGAATTGCATTGATAGCTATCAGCAAAAGCAACAGAAGTATCAAGATCCATGCTGAGAACTCTTCTGTTGGCATCCTGCCCTCCTCATGAGAGCAACCCACAGCTTGGTCATGGTGAGCCACTGGGATCAGTGCCAAATCTGACCCCACCTGGCATGTGAACTTGTATCACTATTTCCTATCCTTGCTGTGGCTCCAGAACAGTACTTCTGTTGTGTTGTCAAGGCAGACTTGGAGGTAGTGTCTGCCACCCTACTGTGGACGAGGTGTGGAATCATTTTTGCATACAGCTGTCACATATAGAGAAAGAAAAGAGTAAGGCTGTGTGGCTGGAAAGCAGGAGATCAAGAAGGAAAATCAATCATTGCACTGAAGATTACAACTATTTATTTTTGTAGATATCTCGTATGCAGTAAATTCATTATGCAGCCACTTCCCAGTACTAGCTGTACAGGAAGCTATAAGAAGATCAACTCACCATGTACTCAAAGACAAATGTTAGTGTCTTCTTGGTCTGGATAATGTCCTGAAGCAGTACAATGTTGGCATGTTTCAAACGCTTGAGGAGAGAAGCTGGGGAAACACAAAAGGAAGATCAACTTTGCTACTGCTGCTGGAAGTGGAAGTAGAAAGTGCACACAGTAAGGCAGTGACAATAAAAAACTGGGGAGAAATAGTCCAAGCTTGGCAGTTCTGTAAGAAGCAGCAGCTACTGAGTCTGGAGGAGGATGGAACAGCTCCTTAGGAGAGCAAGGATCAGTGCAGGAACCTGTCCATCTCTCAGAGATGGGAACTTGCCTCTGTCAGAAACAGCAGTTTGCAGTTGCCAGCTGTCAGCTTCTCAGCTGAGGAGAATTAGTATCTTCAAGGCAAACGGTGAGAGACAGGGGCTGGGAGCTCCCAGAGCCAGAATGCAGCAGCCTGCCACTGACCTTCTTATCCTTCTCCCATCTGCCTCCTGGCATGTGTCCTCAGCAGTGCCCTTAGGAGGCTGCTGGGGAAAGCTGAATTTCTGTCATCTTCCAGCTTCACAATATCAGGGTGTAAAAATCTGCCAAAAGAAATCACTGTGGATGCTAAGCTGAATTCTGAATTTAGGTCTGCAGTTTTAGCTTGGAGAAAGCATATTGGTTACTTTCTCCAGTTTAAAAACTCAAAGAGCAGAAATTATGAAGTTCCTGATGGAACAGTAACTTGTTTGTATTTACACAACTTTGGCACGTTTTTCTTTTGGCCTAACCATGTAAAAGCATCGTTGCAACTATGTGGCCCTGGTCTCTAAGGTGCTGACAGGCCTTCACCAAGCCTCAGCATGTGTAGAGTGTGGTGATGGAGTGGGCAGCATGTGGAAGTGTCTCTGCCTCCTTGCAGACCACAGAGCACTGACCAATGCTAAGACAAAAGCTAGTGTCTTCCAGGCCCTTCCACTTCGTGTTATGTTTCTCATGATAGAGCAGGCTCCAGCTGACACACTCGCAAAGGCAGCTTCTCAGCAGAAAGTCTCAAAGATAGGCAACAGTTGCTGTAGTTCTGTACAGAGGAGGGGATGTGGAGAAGTGATGGAACTGGGATCACTCTGCCTGTAGAACCCTGGAACTACTGAAGAATCCAAGCCAGTTGTTAGACCAAAACTGCAGAGATAGAACCCCCCAAACTCAACAAAAACAGGAGTCTCTGACTCCAGATTTTAGTTCAGTTTCTGGCATAGCAGAATAGCCTCCGAGCTGCTCCAGACCCACCTTTTCCTCCTTATTAAAACCAAAATAGTTTATTGTCAGACCACACAGTGCTGTACATTTCGTTGAGATAAGGCATACAATCTGTTTTTTGCTGAATTAGCTGCAGCACACAATACAGAGCTTGGGCTGGTTGTGGGAGGCCAAATGAGTTGTGGTTCTCAATAAAAGCTGCTTATTGTTTTTCAAACAATGTGCAAAAGATGCTTGAAGGTTTTCATGCTGGCAAAGCAAATTTATACTGGATTAGTACTTTGTCTTTTGTGATCACAAGAATTTAACCTGGTTCTAAAAGTCCTTACAGCCAGATATACTGTATTACACGGCTGTGGTCTGTGCCTATGTCAGTACTGATATGGCTGAGCAGTAAGGGATGCCTAATGCAGCATACTACTGGAAGCAGCACAGATTGTAAATTAGTCCTTGCACAGAGCTTGGTGTGGCTGTGGTGAGCTGTGCCTCTAGTGCTGATGCAAGTCCGTTTAGCTACCACCAGTGTGTTTCCAGTTCACAGCAGTATGAACTTTAAACATGCTCCACATTGCACCTAATTGCCCAGGAACCCAGTAAAGATACTCTGGCTAGATCCCACCTGATACAGAAAGGGGCTACTAATCTGGCTCTGTGATACCTCAAAAATCCCATATGACTAGAGCTGTTCCTCCAGAGGAGCAGTCTGGAGGGTCCAGAGTAATGGAGATTTCAGCCCCTGTGCCTGAATCAGGCCTCTGGGAACTGCTCCTCATTTGGTTGTTTCTACAGCCACCTGCTGGGGTGTCAGGTGCTACAGCCAGAACTGAGCTTTAAACACATTTTGTCTCTGTGGGGCTTCCTGGGGTGAAGTGGCTCTTTGTCAGAGAAGTGCCATTCCTTGAGGGTAGCAGAGAATGCACCATATTAATAAATCTTGCACTTTGTTTGTGCTACTGACTTACATTGTAAATTTGAGGTGTCAGATGCTGCAAAGTTCAACAGTACACAAAAGGTCTATTTAAAGCAGACCCTTCATAGGCTCACCCTTGTTTTCTCCCATAATGGATGAAATTAAGACTCCCAGCCTGTCCAGTAGAGCATGTTAAAGGGGTGCTGATCTTTAAAGCATCATTAGTTCTACACAGGTAAAGCTTTTAAGGCTTATTTTTCTGGCGGGCTACAAGTCCAAACAGAGCAAAAGCACCACAGCAAATGAGTGTATAGGAAACTGTAACACAAGCTATTCTGTAAATAGGCATATTTAGGTATCTCTCTGCTTTCACTCAGAATTGGACTAAGGACTTTGTAAACTTTCTTATCTTAATTACACTGTTGTAAATTTGGAGCAGGTCCACTAACCTCTCGTTACTCCAAGCTGACTGGTAAGAGAGTCCTGTGCTAGGGCTGCTCTCTGAAAGCTGGCATCTCTTGTCCATGACACTGCATCCCTGCAGTGACAAGATCAACCCTAGTTGAACAAAATATGTGTGACCTCTTATGTTGATAGCTCTCACTGATGCCAGACAAAAGAGTCACACAAAGGGTGCATATTTCTGTGTA